CCACTATCTCCCTGTCAGCTCTCTGCCTATGATCTACCTACATCACTAGTAACTCTTGCTTGCCACGAAGTACTTTGCTATCCACAAAGCACCTCTCTACCAATAACCCATCTTGCTATCTGCTATCTATTCACTACCTGTATCACCATCAGCTATCTATCTCGCTATCAACAACCCTTCTATCAACTATCTACGTCACTACCAGCTACCTTGCTGCCCGCTATCTGTACAACGACCGTATCCGGCAGGCGGGGCTGCCGGGGGTCGCCAAGGAAGCCAGGGACCGCAGCCAGCACTGGCACCGCCAGCACGGGCAGCGCCTGCCAGGGCCGGGAAGGGCAGCGCAGGGCAGCGCAGGGAGCCCGCAGGGCGGCACGGGCGGCACCGGGGCGGAAGGACGGCACGCGGCAGCGGCGGCGGGCACGGCGCGAGATCGGGGACCGCGGGTGGCGCGGCGAGAACAGCGCGCAGACGGGCGCGGGGCGGGCGAGGCGGCGGCGGCCGGGGCTCTGCTGCGCGGCCCGATTCTGCTTCGGGCATCGCCGCCAGAGTCGGCGGGACGGGAGAAGAGGAGCCGCCACGAACGCGGAGAGCGGAGTCGGTCGGCACGGGGTCGACGGGGAGAACGAGGAGGAGAAGCAGGACCGCGCACGGCGGCACAGGGAGCCCTCGGCTCCTCCGCTGCTCGGGCTCCTCTCCCGGCTCGCTCCTCGCTGCCAGGAGAACCTTCCGGGCGCCGGGCCGCCTACAGACACGGCCGTATCTCGCCGTGCGCGGAAGGCGCGTCCTCTTCTCCCCGACGCTCGCCACCCGGCTCGGGGCTTTCCCGGAGCTCGGAGCTCCGCCGGGGCTCCCCGCAGTCCCGCGCCGTTTGCCGGACGCGGCGAAGGGCCGACCGCACCCTGGGGCGCATCGGGCCCAGCGCTGCCCAGGAAAGGACTGTCCCGCTCCGCTCTGCTGCGCCCGCTGCAGCCCTCAGAACGTCCGGCCCCGCTTCCTGACGTGGCTGCGTTCTCCTTGGGATCCGTGCCCGGCAGTGCCCACAGCCTGCCCTGCTGCGCTGTGAGAAGGCAAGTCCTAGCCTGGGGTCGGGGGGCTGCAGGCCCTGGTCGCTCTGGGTTCCCGAGGCTTCCGAGGTGCCGCTTTGGCATCCCCCGCTTCGCCAGGTGCCGCTCCCTGCATCTCCTTGACTTGCTGATGCACTGCTGCTCTGGCAACCCCTGTGCCTGGTGTCTTGTGGAATGGGGCAGTGACACACACGGGTTTGGTACACGCTTCTGAAAACACGTGCAAAAGCCCTTTGTAGGGGTC